CGGGGGCCTGTCCTTCCTGTGTGTAGGAGTGCCCCTTCATTCCCTCGGAAACGGTCCCTTTTCCTGCAGGGGGAAAGCGGTTGCCGTGCCAAGTGCTAGGTGGGGTAACTTATGACCGGGGATGGAGGCAAAGGAAATCTCTCGCGGAAGGGAAGGGCACCGGGGCTCTGCATCTGCGGGAAAGGGGAGAAGCTGCCTTCCCTCTCGGCAGCCTGCGGTCAGCCCGCAAACCTCGGGTGAGCCCCCGGCCGCTGCCTGGCTGCGAGCCAGTCTGCTGAGAGAGGCTTCGCGCCCCGGCCCTCTGGGGCCGAGAAGGGAAAGGCAGATGCCCGAAGGTGGGCAGAGTTCGAGGAGTGGTGGGATCTCGGCCTCGACTCTGCCCTGTTCCCCCAGGCAGCGAGTGCAGGCGGCACTGAGCGCTCACATCCCCGGGGCACGATTCCCGTTCCCGGCTTGGCCGCCTCCGGCTCCGGCCCCTGCCCTTAATGAGATTCTTTGAAACCCAAAAAAAGCGAGATTTAATGTTACATCCTTATCTTTGGAGGAGCGCGGTTTTCTTGCCGCGGCGACGTCACTTGTTAAACAATCCGCGGCTGAGCCCCTGAAAAGAGAGGCATTGCACCCTTCGTGCTGAATGCGCTTCTCAGTGCGCACAACGCCAAGGCCTTTTGATGTCTCACAATGCGTGTTACGCCCAAAGATTGTCTCTTTGGACAGATCTACAACGCTTGGCTTCATGTTTGGAAGTTAAATGGACAGCGAGGTTGTAGAAACTCCCACGCTTGAAGCTGGCGCAGACACTCGGTACTTTCGCCTGTTACTTTCCATGAGTGAAAGCGGCAGGGGTGGAGGGAAGGGGCTGCTGGTTTAATCCGTGCTCTGAGGCAAAGGGTGGGGGGGAAAAGCAATCCAGACTTTTCCTCTCTTTTCTTCTCTTCAGTTTATTCTTTGGCAGCCTTAAAATAAGAGCTATGTGCAAAGCGTGCGCCCTGCCTAGGTAGCTTGTGTCTGGAAGTCGCTGGCAATGTTGCTGCTCCATGAAATCAAAATTTATGATTATTCAAATGTCGGGGACTGTGAAAAGAGAGGAAGAAAGAGAGAAAATTAATATTGCAGCTGTTCTTCTGATTAATGAGAGATAATTGCTCATGAAAAGTCACCCCTGTGGCATTTTGTTGTCTCCTGGATCTTTGTTCTTTTCCACTATTATTGAGGACTTTCTTGAAGACTAAGCGGTTCTTTTCAATTTTTGGTATTCAGAAAGTGTTGCTTGGTTACAGATAATGGAGAAATCTCGGGCTATATTGGGTAAGATGTGCCACAGACAGCAATATCACAATGCCACTTTCAGAAAAGGATGGATACAAGTTAACGATGCTCTTTCAATAAAACATTAATAGACTTGTTCACGCTTTTATAATGACCTCCTTAATGGGAGCTGGGGGCAAGTCCTGAAGATTGCGTTCACTTCAGAAAGGCCAGCGTCGGGATTGCCGATCACTTTGGAAACTAATAGGGAATCAATGTTAGAGTAGCGAATAAATGCGATTATAGCGCAGGAGCCCGCGGCTCCTCTCTTACCCACGCAAGAGTTTATTTTGAGCGGGACTTTCCCCTACGGGAACTGCCCCAGCCCGGGGCGCAGCCTGCCCAGCGGTACCGCTTGTCACCCCGGTGTGGTGTGGTGTTTGCGGCCACGGCTGCTCTGCAGGTGTTGTTTTGGTTTTGGGTGTTTATTTGGGCGTTTTTGGTTGGGTTTTTTCCTGGGTTTTTTGTTTTGTTTTTCTGCTTGAAAAGTGTCCCCGGGCTGCGGCGCTTTCCGCTGAGGCAGCTCCTCCCGTGAACTCCGCGGAGATGCGCGCCTGAAAGCCAGCGCTTTCTCCGGGCGGGCATGGCTTTTTCTTCTGCCGGGAGCTGCCGGGTTGGGGGAGGGAAGGGAAAGAGTTGCTTTTGTCATTTAAGCCGTGAATCTCTTCTACATAAAGGTGTTAGAGACATCTGGAAGAAAAGAGGGACCAGCACCCAGTCCTGCGCTCGGTGGACCAGGGGAGCGGCTCTGATGTTCTTTTTGAACTGCTCCACTTTCAAAAGGGGGCAATTTCGTTACATTCTCATTTGTTACACTGTCTTGAACTAAAGGCAGACAAAGCTATACTCTGTCACCCCGAGCAGAATGAAGGGAATCAAAGGATTTTCCCTTAAAAGGACTAATTTTCTCCTTGAATTATGAAAGTAATGGCTAGGTAACAGCCTGTGCTCTGTACCCAACTGCTTAATACCTTCTAAATCCTTCCACGTGGCTCTCCCAGTCGTAGCAATTAGAGCTCATTATAGGCTCATAAGAGCTCTCATTTCGGGGATTACTTAATGGACAATGAAATTTTATCGGACAGAATTATTGAAAAATAAAATTGTAACGAGGCCGATGTGATGTGGGCGCACGCCTTGCATCATTCCGCCTGGTTTGGGATGTCTTTGCTTTCAAATGACTTTTCTTGCTCTGGCTTTCAGGGGTGGGTTTTTCCTAGTGATTTTTCTCTCTCTCTCTCCCTCTCTCTTTTATCACTGCGTTTGGTTTATTATAACAATTACAAATTGAAATTTTGATCCGACTCTTTCTCTGTCTGCCTTCCCTTACGACAGCCCCCTCCCCAGATCCACTCTATCACTGCAGACAGCTTTTTCCACAGAGGTTTGAGGCTGTGCTATTATATTTTCTTTTCCAGAATAGCCTTTCCTAAAGGAAAACAAAAAGAAAAAAATATTAAAAATTAACATTAAATGCAGATATTAGTTCAAATCTTCTCCAGATATACCTTGCTTTAAACTCGAAGAGCCTAACCAAAAAATGCCATGCTTGTGCACGGCGCCCGTGACTAGAATCCCACCGGAGCTCAGGGGGCAGAGCCCCTCCCGGGGATCCCCGCGGCCGCGGACCCCAGGGCCTCGGCGGGTGCGGGGGCTGCAGGGCCTGGCGGCTGCGGGGCCTCGGCTGAGCCCTGGCCAGCACTTTGGGGAAAAGTAGGGGAGGTTGGAGCCGACCCGCCTAAACCCCGCGAGCCCCTAATTGTTGTCACAAGACGCGGGATTAGCGCATTGCTGGAATAGCTGTCTGTTTACACTCAGGAGCCCCCGCCGGCCGGTAAACACTTTCTAATTGAATTCTAATCACATTCAAATAGCCACATAACAGACCTCAGCTGCAATTCATAAAACTTTAATTGCTATCCATAAATCCTCAGATCACCGAGCGCGGAGTGTCCCTAAAAACGCTGTTGCATCGTGCCTGCCCGGGGAGGTGCGGGAGGAAAGGGGAGCAGGGCTAGGGGACAGCCGGCCCCTGAACAGGGCAGTCTGTACAGCAGCACTGCCCGAGGCGGGATGGAGATGGCAATGGGGATGAGAATAAGGAAAAGGACGGGACAGCACAGCCGGTCGAGATCGGGCCCCTCTCCTAGCAAGGCTTGAGTTGCACCGCCGAGCCTTGCTGGTTCCAGGGGCGAGGAAATCCCGGCTCCATCAGAAGGCGGTTTTATTTTGCTGGGTTTAACAGTGGGACACTGTGTTTGCGGGAGGGATGGTAGGATGTCCGCGGCCCGCCCTGGCGCATGATAACTGCTTCTGAACACGTTTCGGCTACTGCTGCACTCTCGAGTTTCTGTTCAGCCTCTGGTAATCAGGCGTAGTCTGTGTTTTCTGCTTTAGAGCACAATTGTCACTTCCCTTTCCCGTGTCAAGTGGGATGGGATCGGCAGTGTGTTTTAAATGCCGCTTCACATCTGCTAAACAAGAACGCGATAGTCCTTCTATTAACGATAAGTCTCTTCTTAAACTCCCATAAACAGGTCATTGGAAAATCGCTTAATATGCTGCGAATACCTTGGCTTTGTAATGCACTCTGAAATGCTTCGGAGCCACCGACCGTATTTAGCTGTTTATCCAATTTTACTTTGAATGATTGCTTCAGCAAACTTGGTGGAGATCAAAGAATCCCTCCCTGACATGTTCGCTTTTCATTAGCGCTGCGCACTGCGGTCCTGGAGAGGCCGGGGAAGTTCGTTTGGAAGTTTTCCGTTTTGATACCGTTTGGCTGAGAAGTGTCCAGATATTTGAAGGCTTTGTCCGTTGCAGTAATTGCCAATTTGGCAAGACTCACTTGAGATGAAAAGGGCGAGGAGAAAAAAAAAAGCCACCCAACCCACCCTACGTGCATATGTATGCACTGACACACAAACGCGCTCCATCCCTAACCTTATATTCATGGCTCCATCTGTGTACCTGGCTCCTCTGATGCAGAAAGGGCCTCCTGAAGGAGTCCTGAGTGCATGGAGTGGGCCGGGCTGGGGAAAGGTGTTGGCCACAGGTCTCTGTGGGATCCACGACCCTTTGGATGTTCTTTTACTGGGGGTGAGGGGGGCGGAGTTGAACCGCTTGTTTCAGGGCATTACCTGCTCTCACCTCTCTTTCCCTCCCGGCGAGGGAACGGAGCGTTCTCCTCTGGGAAAACCCCCGAGCAGAAACTCCTTCCTATTAATTTTATCCCCAGCATCCCGGGTGTGTTGACAGAGGGACATGCCTGCCAGCGCGACGTGTGACGGGCCCGCGGAGCAGCCGCCCCCTCCTCGCTTTCTCTGCTCCTATAATTTATTTGAGGCGGAGGCAAAGGAGTGAAGTCATCGGGCAACGAGCAAGCACGCACACTTTGCCCCCCTCCCCTACCCCGCTTTGGTCCCCCCCGGCAGCCTCTCCTGCCGGCCTGGGAAGCCGGGGAGATTTAGATCTGCGAGGCTTTCAGCCATCACGTGTTTAAATACTTGATATAAAACCCCGGCGCAGGGGATCCAGGCGGGGGGACTTTAAGACCGGCCCTCTCCAGGGACCCTTTTGTTCAGCTCTCAAACATAAGCACCTTCTCGACTCGCCAGGACTTCAGTGGCAACTTGGCCGAGCAGGAAAACACGACTTTGGGAGAGCCGCCCCCGGCCTCGCCACCCTCCGCAATGTCACGCTCCTTCTATGTCGACTCCTTAATCATCAAAGACTCCTCGAGGCCGGCTCCGTCCCTTCCTGAGCATCATCACGGCCAGGACTTCTTCATTCCTCTCAGCATGCCTTCCCCCCTCGTCATGTCGGTGTCGGGCCCGGGCTGCCCGTCCCGAAAGAGCGGCGCCTTCTGCGTCTGCCCGCTCTGCGTCACCTCGCACCTGCACTCCTCCCGCGGCGGCGGCGCCGGCGGGGCCATCCCTCTGCTCAAGAGCCAGTTCCCCACGGCCGCGGGCGAGGCCCAGTGCTGCCCGCGGAGCAGCCACGCTCACCACCCGCCGCAGCACCCGCCGCCCGCCGCCGCGGTGCCCGCCGCCGCCGCCGCCCTGGGACACCCTGCGCATCACCCACCTGCCTGCGCCGCCACCACCTACAGCGTCAGCGACCCCCGGAGGTTTCACTGCCTCGGCATGGGTAGGAGCCCTGCGGCCGCCGGGGAAGGGGGGCAGCGGGAGAAGGGGTGTCGCCAAGGGAGAGCGGCTGTCCCGGGTCGGAAAGCTGCTGGGAATGTCTTTTCTCTGTCTGTCTGTCTCTCTCTAGCCTCCCTCCCCTCCTTCTCCCTGTCCCGCTGAAGTTCTCATTTCTCTCCCGTCCAGGAGGGTCCGAATCCAGTCAAATTCAAAACGGGAAACGGATGAGGACTGCCTTTACTAGCACCCAGCTCTTGGAGCTGGAGAGGGAATTCTCCTCCAACATGTACCTGTCCCGGCTGCGGAGGATCGAGATAGCCACGTACCTGAACCTGTCTGAGAAGCAAGTGAAAATCTGGTTCCAGAACAGGAGGGTGAAGCACAAGAAAGAAGGCAAAGGCACCCAGCGAAACTCGCACGGGGGCTGCAAGTGCAGCACCAGCCAGGGGCATTACCCCCGGTCCGAGGATGAAGAGTCTCTATCCCCCTCATCGGCTACCGAGGATAAAGAGATCTCTCCGTTATGAGATCCTCCTGCCTCCGGGTCCCTCCTGCTCCGCTCCTGCCGCCGGCTCCGAGCCCGGAGCGAGGTGGCGGCACGGCGACTCACCTGGCACCGCTCCCCACGGACGGCAGCCCGCTAACCTGCAGCGGGCTGGCCCTCGCCGCCGCGGAGGTTTAATTGTCATCCACTCGCAGTAATAGAAATAGAAGTATATCTATATATATTTTTTTCTGAATGCGAACGTTTTAGTCGTGGGAGGTCAACCTAAACGTTACTTATGTAACCCCAGGAGAGGGCACCTGCTCTTTCTAAAATGTAATATTGGGCAAGGCTCGCATAGCCCAGGGTGTCTTCCTCTGTATCCCCACAGGCAATTTAAAGGAAAAAAAGAAAAGTATTTGAAATAGAAAGGAGAGACATTAAAAAAAAAAAGAAAAAAGAAAACAAAAAACATACCTGAAAAGCAAATTAAAACCTGTAGAAAACCTACTGAACGGACTTCTTAACAAAAATAAGAAAAGACATAATGATCGCCCGTTTGGGTTTGGGACGGCTGTTTGTCTGTGAATAGTTTTATATAAAAATTATATTTATATTTATTTAAATAAATGAAATCAGACGAGAATTTAATTTTTTTTTTTTTCTTACCCCCCCCCCCCCCCCCCCCCCCCCCCCCCCCCT